TGATGTGCAAGCAACATCTTATGCCCCACAGGTAGAACGGCGAGGCGCGAACCATGAACTCCAGGCATGCCTGAATGATCTATCACTCCCCCGTGAACAAAAAAAAAAAAGGATGGGAAACAAGAATGGGAAATTCAAAGTTGTTACAGCGCTCTCTATGGGCAATAATGGCGCTGTATTAGCTGCTGCCAAGGGAGATATGTTGCTCCCACTTTATCTCCGGTTTATAACCGGAATCTGTCTTGTTGCCTTGTTGATTCTGTTGGAACGTCTTGTTGAATATGTTGTCCTACGACATGAAGCAAATCAGAGCATCGATTTGTCTCCGGGAGCTCGCCGGTGGAGCGAGAATTTTGAACATGGAATTCCCAACATGAGTACACCTATACCGGTTGCCATAATGGTCTTGAAGACGGTATCGGTACAACGATCTTCAACAATACCGCCACGGTGTCACGCTTTTTGGACAATAGGCAACCCATTGTATCTGCTGGTGCTACTGTTCAATGCTACACCAAACGACAGCTACTGTCCTTACTTGAGTGTATAGTGCCTCTATCTGCTGAGACCTATCACACCCTGAAGCAATTAGGTATTGCTCGTCATGCAAGAGGCCTACGAGCAGGAACGCATATGTTCAAAAAGATCCGGACTTTTTGTTCCCCTAGATCTCAAAACCCACGTAAGAGCTATCTCCATACCAGTATCCCATCTAACCTGCTACCAATATCCCTGGCCAAGCCACTTTCAAGTCTTACCATACACATCTGGAATGCGAATTCCATACGCAATAAAACCACCACCCTATTGGACCATATTCTATTGTATGATGTTGACATGATGTTGTTGACTGAGACCTGGCTTTCTGATGATGATATGGTGATAATTGGTGAATGTACCCCTCCTGGCTACATGTTCATCAATTTTCCTCGTAGGGGGGCAACCCATGATGGTGGGATTGGCATAGTGCACAAGAAATCGCTGACACTGTGTTCTACCCCGTCTGGGTTCTCCTCAGTTAACCTTGAACACTGCACTGTTATGCTCAATAACTGTATCCGACTTATCGGAATATATCGTCCGCCTCCATCACGTGCTAATGGACTGAAAACCTCCGGATTTTTGGAAGAGTTTGAGAGATTTCTGGATGAGACGTCCGTTACTCCTAAAAAAAAACTGCATTATTGGGTGATTTCAATGTGCATATTGACTCACCTGATAAATGGGACACCAAAACATTCACTGAGATTATTTCAAATGCAGGCTTCAGCCAACACGTCAAGGGCCCAACTCACAGACATGGTCATACCTTAGACTTGGTCATTTCCCCGCGATGATGATGATGTAATCCATGAAGTTCATGTCGACCCTCTGCACCACTCTGATCATCATGTCGTCACATGTGCCATGAAGTGTGGCAAACCTCCACCACTGAGGGGCTCAGCAACATCCCGCCAGTACGGCAAGCTGGACCATGAGCGCTTGACAGAGCTACTCCATGATCGGTTTACCGATTTCCCAGACAGCAACAACGATCCCAACAGTCTTGCAGAGTCTTATGCGAAGATAACTTCTATGGTCCTCGACGAAGTTTGTCCCTTGGTCACCAGGGAACGAATTATCAAGCCAGGACTTCCATGGTACAACGACCTCATCCATACTGAAAGGCGTATTCGGCGTCGCCTTGAGCGGAAATAGAAAAAGACCAACTCTGCTGAGGATGAACATGCCTTCCAGGCTCAAAAAGACCACGTAAATAGACTGATCACTGATTCAAAGATGCAGTTTTATTCTGACAAATGCACCGATTGTAATGTTAAAGATATGTACGCTAACATCAATGTTCTCCTTAACAAGACTGCTCAAACTCTACCCGATTGTGATTCCTATAAAAAGCTCGCTGACAACTTTTTGTTGTTTTTCAAGGAAAAGGTTGAGAACATACGGTCCAATGTGTATACTCAATTAAACACGGGTGTTAGTGTTACTGATGCAATATCAACTGTCTTTTCTGTCACTGAGTTTGAGCAGATTACTTGTGACGACGTTAAACAAATCATCATGCGTCTTCCTAATAAATCGTGTTCATTAGATACTTTACCATCTTGGTTGGTTAAAGAAAATCTATCCACTCTTCTCCCGGTTATCACACACGTTGTTAATGCCTCCCTCTCATCCGGTATTTTCCCATCAAATCTTAAACACTCCATCATAACTCCTGTAATTAAGAAGAGTTCACTTGACCGAAATCAGTTTAAGAGTTATCGACCTGTTTCCAACATACCTCTTCTGTCCAAGGTTATAGACAAGGCCGTGACATGTCAAGTTATTGACCACATGGAAAGCTACAAACTAGGTGAACAGTTCCAGTCCGCGTACAAGCATCATCACAGTACCGAGACTGCCCTTCTTAGGGTCAAAAAGGATATTCTTTGTTCCCTGGATAAAAACAAAGCTGTTTTTATGGTCTTGCTTGACATGTCGGCCGCTTTCGACAAGGTCGATCACGGCATCCTTCTACAGAGACTCCAGAGCCAATTTGGAATAAAAGGAACTGTTGAGTCTTGGTTCAGCACATACCTAAAAGACCGCGCAGCTAAGGTTTCGATCAAAGGAGATTTGTCTGAAGGGCACATTTCCACCTACTCCATACCCCAGGGATCCGTAGTAGGTCCGTTGGGATTCATTATGTACCCCAATCCCATCGGTGAGATCATTCGTAGGCATGGCATTTCATTTCATGAATATGCAGATGATATCCAGCTTTATGCTGAGTTTGACCCTAAATCTAAAGGCGACTGTGGTCAGGTACTTGGCAATTTATCATCTTGCGTTTTCATGATCAATGAATGGATGTCTCAAAACATGCTGAAGCTTAACCAAGACAAGACTGAGTTCATTATTTTCGCCAGTAATCATGTGGTTGCTAGTGTCCCTGATCTCCAATTAGAATTGGGAGACTTATCCATTTCAGCTTCCACATCCATTAAGGATTTAGGAGTCACACTAGATTCTTCTTTGACAATGTCTCATCACGTTGGCTCTCTGTGTAAAACTGTTAATTTCCACATCCGTAACCTGTGGCGTATTCGCCGGTTTATTACATAGGATGCCTGCCATCACGCCGTCAGAAGTCTGGTCCTGTCCCGTCTTGATTATGCGAACTCTCTTTTGCTAGGTGCTCGTGAGAAAGATCTTAAACGGTTACAGCGCCTACAAAACAAGGCTGCCCGGCTGGTCTTCGCATGCGGCCGGGACCAGCCATCTGAGGGCCTGCTGGCAGAGCTACATTGGCTCCCTGTTAAACAGAGGATAACCTTCAAAATCTTCACCCTTGTGTACAAAATTCTCAACAATCAAGCTCCATCATATCTGGTTGACCTATTACATTCACATCACTCAAATATTCCTGACTCTTACAGACACCGACTCCGCTCATCATCCTATCAGACCCGGCTTTCTGTCCCTAGAAGTAGGAAGAAGGCCAGAGATAGCTCTTTCGTTGTGGCCGCCCCTCACGTGTGGAATGAGCTTCCTTCTTGTCTGAGAGAGGCGGTCTCGCTGCCTGTATTCAAACGTCTCCTGAAGACACATCTGTTCCAAGTCCATTCGTAATCGTATTGTGTCTGTTTTTCTTTCCTGTTATTTCTTGTTGTGGATGAGTGTTAAGCGCTTTGTTCTTTGTAAAGCGCTATATAAATACTTTGTATTATTATTATTATCATTATTATTAAGAATGGAAAAAGAAAATGGATAGTGAAGGAATTAATGAAACTAGTAAAGTAACACATTGAGTACCATGCCCCCCTCATCAAAATTATACTTTTGAGACTTTTTCCTTGTGCGCTTTCTTACTTTCAAAAATACATCCCCACCTCTTTTAGCATTACACATGAATATAACATAATGTACGAAACGTTGGTGTGTAAAACCAAGCAGCCATTATGTCTCATTTCAATGGATCAAATCCCTGCCCTGTACTTTATACGCGCACGCGTAGGCACGCGAGTGGGAATTCCCGGCTCGCTCTGGGATTACAGGATGTCACGTGAATAGCGGGGAATCCCCGAAATTCTTTGGCGGTCGAAGTTCAGCGAGGACCGCCAGTGATCAACGTAAACGAGCATGAGTCGACCCTGGGTTATTTCCGTGCATAGATTCCTGGCTTGGATGGTGTGTTTTTTTTTCAGGCATGACAGACAAATTAATAGAGTGTATTAAAAAAAGAAATGATACTGCCCATTGTTATCTTCTTCTTATATTTTAATAACTTTGCATTTATGTAGTTAGAACGTTTTAAAATTAGTCAAACTAGACCTATTCATCGGGTGGGGGGGGGATGCGAACTTGGGTATATTTGACTATACGCATTGGGATACATTATAGGGGACAACGCCATCCCCCGCCCACTTATTATTGGGACATGTGTCCCTCCCCCCTCCCCTGGTGAGGCGCCACCCATGTACTCCAGGCATGCCTGAACGATATATCCCTCCCCCATAAACAACACAAAACAAAAAGGATGGGAAACAAGAATGGAAAAAGAAAATGGATAGTGAAGGAATTAATTAAACTTAACGTAACACATTGAGTACATTACCCCCTTCCCGTTATTAAGTTTTTGAGAGTTTTTCCTTGTGTGCTTTCTCACTTTCAAAAAGCATCCCGCTTCCTCTATTATACCTGGAAGAACACCAACTTGAAGATTATTTTTGTTTGTGTCATTTGCGAAGTGTTGGTGCCCCAAAAGTGTCCATCGATTGCATCGATCGAAGTATCTTTCATTTCTGCGCTCGCACAAACAAGCTTCTCAGTGTCAGATATTTCAAAATTCCCAGTTCGTGACCTTTCTTTAAATACTCAACTTTGTCAAAGTTTCGGAGTAGGTGGGAATTCCCGCGCACTCTGGAAATTTCTGACACCTTGCGCAACGACTGAATATATAATTTTTTACTTCCGTCGGCTGCGATCACTAAACAAAAATGGAGCACTTTACCAGGAAGCCCAGGGGGCCTGACGGTGTTGGATTTCTATAAAAGCCCAAGCGCGGTCGGGGTAGAGCTAGTTTGGGGAAGAGTACGCAAAGTGAGCACTGGTTGAGACTGTCTTGCTGCGCTCAAAAAAGAAGAGGCCTGTCTTTTGCACCATTTAAACACGTCTAGCGTCTTGTAGTATCGGCTACAGTCCAATTTTGACGAGTCTTTGTACCTCGAGAGAACCGTACGTCATGCGGCAGGTACCTGCAGTGCTGATGGGGTTTGCGACGCTCCTGACGGTCGGTAAGTACAAGACTGCCGTGGTTGATGGGTATAGGGTCGGAATCGGTTTGCCTGTATTAGGGCAGTGTGATCGAGGCGGTTTTGGGTGCGTGACTAATGATCCGATGGTCAGGGGTTTGAATCCAGTAACTGGAATGTTGTTTTTGTGTTGTGTCCTTGGGCAGGCCACTAGCTTTTACTGGTCCCTCACTTGCCTCTCTCCAGCCCGATGTTTAAAGTGGGTACCGGCACGCACTAGCTGTGTCTACCTGTAATGGACTGACATCCACTGAAGGGGGGGGGGGGGAAACCGGGCCACTATAATCCAAGCCTTTTTTTCCAATGGTAACTATAAATAATCACAAGCCTCTTATCACACATAACATGTATTGGCTCGTAGTTTTACTACACAGATACAGATAACATGAGATATGGGAATACTGAGTGTTGGGTACTGCTTAAAAACACCCGGGGTTCGGGAAATGGATGTAACACTGTACTAGGATCACACTCGTTTAGGGACACGAGTGAGTTTCGATACCCGAAACCGTATGGACCTGCTCCTAGTATAAATGCATGTGGCCGTCCCCCCTCTGTGCTATTAATTTTCCAGCTCTTCCTGTTTGTTCTGCCTTGCAATGCCAGGTCTATATTATCCTACGTGATGTCCTGTCTACATTTCAACATGAACTTGTCTCATGTTTCATAAAACATGATGAATTACCATCTCATGATTTTGTAATGTACATAATGTTGCTGACTTCCTGTATTTATTTTGTAATTGTGAAAACTAAATTGTGAATGATAGGCCTGCTTGGTGATCAGTGGTGGCGATTTTGATAATGAGGACATTAATGGTGATATTTGTGATGTAAAGTGCTGATGGGAACGTGCAACGGTGGATCCTGCAGAAATACGCGTCATTTAACGTCACACGGAGCAGCGTTAATTAAGGTCCCCACAGAGACTTTCAGAAAGATATATTTAAACTCCTTTCTTGAAGATGAACTCACCACTTTCATCTGATATTAACAAAGTAACAAAAGATTTTTTTTCAAATGTTCCGACACTTCATGTCCCCTCCCCACTCAGCTTTTGCCGCCCCGCCCATTGAAGTAAGCGCCCCGCCTCCACCAATTACAGTGCCCGTTGTAACCAAGTACATCACGTCCGAGGTGCAGACGCTGGCTCAAGATGCAAGCATCACGCTGATTGGTCATCTGTGTGAGCAGTCCAAGGGTCTGGGAGTCCAGGTGACAGTGCTACTCAACAACAATCCTGACTGGGACACGTCTTTTGGTGTCCTGTGGTACTACGTCGTGGACGACCCAAAAAAGGTAAAGACCTTTCCTAATTTGAAAAAAAGTCTATAAGTGATGTTTCTGTTCGTACAATTCGAGTCGTACAATCATGGTCGTACGTCCGTGTGTAAGCAGCTAGGGCAGTAAGCCTAATATGGTCTTCGTCAGTTATAGAGTGTGGCACCATGCGTCAATGCTGCAGAGACTCTATAGCGTTAGTCTGATTTCGGAAGCACACACGACTGTTCTGTCACTCAATAAAAAGAATAGACCTCAAGTGCAAATCCAGCTTATGGGGGGGGGGGGTTCCTATACAATGCATCCGTTCCATAAGTTTCCAGGTATGGACATTGTTTTTTTACCCGTCACACATGAAAGTGAATTTTCGATTCAACTCGTTTTAGAGAACCTCTGTAAATTTCAGTTTTCCCTTTATAGCTTCTGCTTTGTTCATAACGGTTCCTTTCACTTTGTTATTTTTTGTAGGAGGGGGGGGGCTAGGTTTAAATCGCCTTTAGCTTGTTTTGCATCTGAACTCATCAAATTTATTCCAACCGTTTCTAGTAAGCGAATTATTTATGATTCAACTCACTTTGCGCGGCCGGCTACACGTTGTACATTAAAATAAAATGCTTTTTTTTTCTCAGTGCATTCATTCATACGAAGTCCCGAAAGGGATATTGAATAGTAATTCGTACGCACTAAATAATAACTTCATGCGAATGAACTAAAAACCCGTTACTGAATGTCCATATAGGGGTTCAGTCGGTATAGACTCTTCGCGATCGTATTGTTAGTGTTTATTTCACTCTGCCAGCAAACCTTTTCAATATCTGTTTTATTTCCTTATGCCTATTTCAGAATAGTACCGCCGCGCTGTGCAGCAACTACCCCGCAGGTGTTCCAGGGGCTAACTGCACGGTGAAAGCATGGCCGAGTGTCAGCGACATCTACATCAAAGGACATGCTGGCCAATCAGAGGCCGTCTCCTTCACGATTGATGTGGAGGTCAGACCAGCGGTGAGTGCCATTTTAACCATGACCCACCCCCTAGAAGTTGCTCCTTCACCGTTAGATAAACTTGACAATAAGCAGGCGCGGTTCTACCGGGGGGGGGGGGCTAGAGTGGGCTTTAGGCCCCTCCCCCCCAAAAAAAATTATCTAGCCCCCCCCAAAAAAAAAACATTCCGTAAAAAAATTGCATTAGCAAAAAGAAGGATTGTGATGTACATGCGAACGTTCTCCCCCTAAAGAAATAGTCGTGACAAGTGTGATTTTGTAGTTAATATAGTGTGAATGATTTTAGGATTTTATTGGCGCTCCCCATTGAAAATATGGAGCCCCCCCCCCCCCCTATTGATTTTCGGAGGCCTGAGTGTCTGGAGAAAATGACCGGTTCTAGAACCGCGCAATAAGTCTCACAAAATGCTTTCACGAGACAACACAGCAAGCCCATTGTCTGCACTAAAATCATTGGCGGATCTACTGGAATATCAGTTTGTGTATGTTATTTCTTTCGACTTCACGAAAATCGGAGTAAAAGCCAGACGTTGGTGAATAGGAGGGCCTAGTTGTGTTTTTTTCTAGCTGACGTATTTTGCTATTTAATTTCCCAGAGGTAGTTAAACAAAGGGCTTTATTACCAAGAGCTCATGAACATATGATTTTTCTGTAGCACTGGGGCGTTTTTCATAGTAAAACAGAGGCAAGAACGAGAGAAGGAAGAAGATTTGGGACATCAAATAAAGATAACATTGCTTTCGTCGGCAATTGGACTAGTATATATTTTATTCAAAGCCTCACTTCAGCTAAGTCGCATTCTAAAAGAAGTAAATTAGTTGATGATGATTAGTTACATCCCTACCTCCTGTTCACAGGCCAGGCGTGGAGTTAAACTTCAACCAATCACCTTCGCCAAGGCGCCCGTCCGGAAACTGGACTTCCCTCCCTCGGCCAACGAGCTGACCGTGTACCTGTCCGAGATTGTAACCCTGGCAACCTCGCAATCGCTGGCCTATCACCAGAAGGCACAGTTGACTTTCACCTTCTGCCCAACTCCGCAGACCGGCACGCGCTACGAAGTACAGGCGGTAGTCACGGCCATCGACGGACGAAGCTCCTACGCGCTGTACATCTGTGACAAGCTGCCGTGTGTGGTGAGTCATTGTTCACTACAGAGAGCTTGCAAAGAGCGCCCTCAATGGTCTTTGTTCCTCTGTACTACCCAGAATTGAAACAGAACCTTTGTCACATTCTGGGCGTTTTGTGCACGCTATCTATTACTCTTTTTGTGAGTTTTGTGGCGGACACACCGGGCGCTTATTGCCAAATCCATTTAGCGCACTCTTGTTGTCCTCCCAAAATCTTTGAGAGGCTAATCAATTAATAAACGTTTGGATCACTGTACCTCCAGTGGCGAAACTAGGGTTAAGCCTCTGGGGCACCTGTGGTACATACATTTTTCAAGGGGGTGTACTGAGGGAAAATGATATATATATTTAAATTTATTTTAATTTGATCCAAGATTTTAAAGGAGGGGGCAACCGGCATCTGTTGTTGGGATGCGCTCCCCCACCCCCTGTGTCCCCCACCCCGGTTCCCCTTCCCCCTCCACCGTGCCATCCCTAAAATTACGCCACTGATTCCTTCGGATGGAATGCTACTCGACAACTGTCGCAAGAGGGTGCTATTCGCACTGCACGCACCATCAAGGCCATGCATAGCCAAAACGAAATTAAAAAGAGGAAAGATTTGCCCTTGTTCTTAACAACTTCTTCTATCATTTCAAAACAGGTGGACGGCCCGAATGTCATCGCTCACAATGGTCGCCAGTTGCCTAGCAACACCGTCACCACGGCCTCCGGCACCTGGAAAACGCTGTACGCCCTCGTGGTATGTTGGGGAGGCGTCTGGAACCCGACCCAACACGAATACATCGGCAAGTTCGTGTTCAATGCTCACATGATATAGGTCATCTGTGCAGTAACAGTTTCGCAAAAAAAAAAGTACGACATGTAACAGTTACCGGCAGTAGTCAAGGGACACTGGATATGTTTGAGGGCGCCCTCAACTACCAAGCTCGGTTTTCATTTGAGAAGCAGTGCGAACATCATAATAATTTCTTCCAATCCATTTTTCTATTTTTAACCATAAAAAAAACAAATAATAAAAAGCTTCATATTTGTCTTTCACGATTTTTTCTTCAATTGTTTTTATTTGTTACATTGTTTTTGCATAGTAGACGCTAGTAGTGTATTATTCTACTTATACGATGACACTTAGCATTATAATAATTGTGTCATTATTGAAATTACGTGATATTTCGCTTCTTTACGGTAATATTTGTGGGGTTTTTATAACTCACTCCCATATTGAAATCTTAGTGAAATAAGTTGGCTTTAATTGTTTTATTTTCATGTAATTGCTTTTTTAAAGATATAATACGCCGTGTGTTTTTTTAATACTAAAAAAGGAACTCTATTGAAAGCAAAGATTAAATTTGGACACGTTAAACATTATCAGCAATATTAAGAGAAGAAATTATCGAAACGCATCCGGTTAATGGCCTTTCATGGTATAAAACTGTCTTTAATTTGGTTGATTGAATGAAATTCATTATTTGGTCTTATTGTTTTTTTCTGATGTGACCAAATAAAACAATTGACATGATATTATTACAACACAGGTGCGCATTGTTAAAATTAAATTTTGGAATTTTCATCCCGCATTGAAATTGTTTTTGGTAAACTTGCGATGTCCAAAATTAATTAAATGGAGAAAAAGCGCTCACAAAATGCAAAAAGAAAAGCAATACAGGATTGGTTGCCAAACCGAACAAATAAACCAAAAAACGTTTTCACGAGGGAGCGATTTTCGATCATGTTCCCTGAGTCTGTTGTATAATTTGCAAACGGTGGAATGGTGTGGTGCCAGACTATTTTATGACCGGAGTGCGCTCCAAGCCTCACTTTCGTGTTTTGAATGTGGCTTTAAACATTATGGTATGTTTAATCACAAATTAAATTAAAATTGAAACTATTCATCAGAGCGCACTGGTATTAATTTGTAATGAACCTTTATTTTATTGTTTTCATTTCTACTCGCAAGTCCCAAAATTGAAGATTTAACCTCGCTTTCAATTTATGGCCGACTCGTGATTAGAGACTAGTCACGAGTAACACAGTGTCGGCGCTATTGGCTATATGACTGCATCATTTATTTACATTCCAGATACTCCTTAACAGGTTTAATAAATAGTTAAGCGTAATGTAATAACTTTAGAAAAAAATCAATCCGTTGTGTTTGATTTTCAAAGTTCCTTTAAGAGAAATGGGCATCAATGCATCATTGGGATAAAATAAAGGGCAGGACCAATCGCAAATATTTTTCACAGTTTCTTCCGCAGCTTTAGGTTACAGCGGTTTGGATATTTTCAATAACCAATTTAAATTTTACTGCAAAAACCTTTCAAGACATTCCAAAAGTATCTTTGTGAATTTAAGAAGGAACAAATCATAACAAATTAAAACAAACTCTAAGTAGCAAACGATAACTAGCAGTTAGACGATTGATAATTAAAATAAACAAGTGAATAAACGTTGAATACAACGCAATGAGTTTTTGTTTTACTTTCGTTATTTTCAGCAATGAAAAAAAATGAAATACCCGTGACTGTTGTATAAATAATGGACTTTGCGTGATGAGACTCATCGGCTGTCATGAGTTATCGCAACAACTGGGGTAGACTTGGTGCCAAGTCGGTTATTGTTCACGTACGTACGGTACCGGTTACTGGTTCCATGCACGCAAAATATCACTGCATTGCGCGTAGCCCACTGATCTATACACGTTAGTGTAGAGATCAGTGGCGTAGCCTGGTGGCCCAGACCAAAATGATGCTGACTATCGATGTTCAATAACCGACTTGGCGAAAACGTTTTCTATTTTGTACACAAAATATGAGAGTATGTTGAATCGCTAGCGAATTCTATGCGAGCACTCTGATTCGTTCGGATTCAAGCGTGCATTCTAGGCAGCTACAGAAGGTCAGTCTCATTACTTTGAGAGTTTGTGCTTTGTATTGTGTAACATTCCATAAAATTTATTATAGGGCATACACGACTCAAATAAATCAAGTATATAACAATGATACATTTTATTTCTATACACAGTTGACCAAGCTGAGGCATTTGGCCGTTAAAACGTCGCTTGATCTGCAAACATGTCCCGACGTATTGAGAAGAACTCCCCATGTAACGGAATGAACGAGTCCTCGTTTGCATTGCTGTGCGCCATTGGATCTTACCGCATAGATCACTGCATATGTTTCGCGCTGCACGCATAATATGAATACTGTTCTGAGAACGTGCCCGTCAAGTCGTTATATATGTCGCAACCCTGCCGATTACGTACTATTCTTATACCAGTCGCGCCGATAGAGTTCGACTGAAGTTCACTGACAATATACGACTTTCTAACGACTTGTCATCAAGTCTACAACTGGGGGGCGCTATTTAACGAATGTGGACGACTATGTTGGGTGGACTCGCCATTTCATGTTTTATGTATTAAATTCACACACAAATTATAAATTGTAAGAAAGCCATTAACAGCATACATGGAGAAATTCTGAGATCACACAATAGTCCTTTGAAATTCCATAACTGTATACATCAGAAACGATTGTTGTAACGAGATTATGAACATCACACTCACCACAAGACCCTGTAAATATTGTAAGCATTAATTCGTCATTAATACACGCGAGTTGATAAACAATAGGCACATTTACATATATACAGATAATGCTATATAGACAAGTGCAAATTACAATTATAATTACATTATCAAGCTTCTTTTGTATTGTTTTAAGACGGTTACTGCAACTCTGTACTTTCCCAATTTTTTTTTTGAATTTGTGAAAGTTTCCTTGAATTTGTGACCAATGATCTTCACTACGGTGTTCCAGTTTGAATACGTGTGCAGAACAGGTTCAGTACACACACCGGATTTATAGTTTCCGAAAAAAAGTCTTTGAAAAGGGATATTATTTGCACCGAAGCCATACCGATAAAGTTGAAACAATCACAAACATTGTAGTATTTTAAAGTGAGCTTTGAAAGAAAAAAAATCAGAAAAAAGGGATGACAAAAAAATTCTTCTTGGTAAAAAAAATAAAAAATAAAAAAATAAAACTTGATCGACGTACGTGCGCCCTTGGAGCATCCTTGGCATTCATAGCCTTGGTCAAGGCGCTAGTTGTTATTCTTCCGGCTAGAACGCGGTAAACGATAGCTTCGCTAATGCCATGTATGCAGTCATATGTCTATGCATGCAGTGCATTAAAAATACAGCGCGAACAACGACCTCACGCGGCCACTATTTTTATGCAAATCAGTTGGACCCAATCTAGCGCCTTGGTTCAATCGTCCATGTGAGGTTTTGGGGGTGGTGCTCATTATGTTAATAGCCTTAGCTGACCTTAAATGTCGTTTTCTTATTGGTCGATCGTTGTGTGTAAACTTGCATAGTGAAACGTGGCACCGTACATAATCCATACACGTACACGTTGTGTGTCTCTGCACACGGCACCAATGCACAACAACTGTGGTTCCTGTCACGTTCGCAAAAGGCGAATAGCTGCAAATAATTTGATGACGTCCGGATTTACCAAGGTGTGATTGGACACTCTACATATTAGCCCCGCCTACACTTATCTGTATTCGCATACGAGGTCGTGCGCTAGAAATCCAGCGCAAAATAAAGAAAAACATAAGCTCTTGCCAACGATTGAACCAAGGCGCTAGATTTGGGTCCAACTGATTTGCATAGAAATGGTGGCCGCGTGAGGTCGCTGTTCGCGCTGTACTTAGCACTGCCTGCATAGCGCTAGCGAGGATATCGTTTACCGCGCTACGGCCGGGATGAATAACAACTAGCGCCTTGACCAAGGCTATGACATTTATGACCTGTAGGTATGCTACGTCCTGTATTTAAATATAGGGCCTACTTCCAAATCAAATAAAAGGGGAAATGCAACTGAAAGCTTCAAAGTCGTTAGTTTTATTCAGTTCTAATTCTCAAAAAATGAAAATCATTGTAGAACCTTTGGGCGATATGTTTGTTGGGTGTGTACGCCCACGTGTACAGGTCCATGCATTAGTTCCCGCCCACTGCCCATTTAATGTTGATGACAGTAACGAGTGCGCCTTGTCCACGCCGCACTGGATATTCCCACCTAGTCTGGTTCCCAGACCAAATATTCTGACCATTTCTGTTTAATTTCAATCAATTTAGAGACGTCAGGGCGTCGGGGAATTGTCAGGTCATAGAAACAGACCAATTCCAGCATCACATGCGCGTGCACGCATGTCCAACCTCGTTCCCCATGGGTACGATCTTGCTTCGCCATGTTCTTTCCCATCATGCCTTGCGCAATCTCAACCCCTGGAATTGTGTAATTTAAATGTGTCAAAATATAGCACATTATAATTAGGCTGCAGTTTATCCGTTCTACGTGCCGACGCCATCTTTAGAATTTTGAAAGTTGTGTTTTTGAAGAATCAATGCTTTCAAACATGAGGTTTGGACGTTGCATTTTTTATCACAGATTTGTATTGAATGCACGTACCCCTTTCGTCCCTTTACAACCGCAGATACAGGGATTTGTTTAGCGAAAAACGAAGCTGCTATAATCCATATCTACAGGCATCGCGCAGTTTTGAATATTCGTACGTGACGTGCAAAGCACGCGAGCTCATTATGGGCACACCCAGCGTGCAATCTTCGAAATGCCCGCGCAGCACGCACTGAATAGCCAGTCAGCATCGTTTACGTGTACATCACAGCCAAGGAACGCGCACGCGCCCATGGAGTCGAGGCTAATACATGTCGGACTTGTGAGCACGCATATCGGACATGCCGCACGGATGCGATCGGTTAAAACATCTTGATCGCGCGGATGTTGGAATTTCAATCTGGAGCTTTACAGCGTCTGATTCAACGGTTCTCATGAGTAGCCCTAGCAGAACTACCTACAGTTTATGCATAGTGTCTGAAATCTAACAATGGTAACTAGTAAGCCTACCGAAACCGTGCGTCCCTACTCATTTCCTTAATATAGTACTGACCTGCAGTACGCCAGACCTACTAGCAAGGCTCATATCAAGTCTCCTTTATATGTAACATTTTTTATCCACTTGGGTAGAAGAGCAATCCGTTCACACTATCATCACGGAGGCCCCTTTCAATGGCAAAATCATTGCGCTATCTACTGGTCAGATAATGCGTCACGGGACAGTTGCTTTGTACAGTATCTAACAATGTATTTTCCATTGAATGGGGGCCTCGTGAGTGAACAGTACTGTAACGGATGATGTACACCTGTAGTACTTCTCTCATCTATCTGACGCGGGCGCGAATAGTTGCCGAACGTGATTGGGAGCACATCGTTTTTAGCAATTAAAAAGACAGAAAACAAGAGAGGCAAGCCAACGTTTTCAAAACGGTGTTTGTCAGTGAAACCTTGATATTATTTTGATCGATCCCTGAAAAGCAATTTACGATTTACTACAAATATTGAACTATTATCCACAGTGACACAACGAAGAGGATTGTATCTGCGCGTGCGCAGTGCACTGACGGTCCAGCATTCTTCCACTTCTTCACAATGCCTGTAAGAGAAAGTCACATCGGAGAATGAAATCAGTGATACAAACGAGGAACTATCAATATGGGGGGGGGGGAGTGGCGTCGTCCACATCTTTGAAAGGAGACAAGGTAGGTTTGGTTTGTTTAGTTAGGTTTGTTTGGTTTTGTTTTGGTTTGGTTTGGTTTGGCTTGGGTTTGGTTGGATTGGGTTGGGTTTTGTTGGGTGGTGTTAGGACTGGGTGGTGATGGGTTTGGTTGGTTTGAGTTTGGTTGGGTTGAGTTGGGTTAAGCTGAGTTGAGTTGGGACTGGGTTGGGTTGGGTTGAGTTGAGTTGGATTGAGCTGGGTTGAGTTTGGTTGGGTTGAGTTGGGTTGAGTTGAGACTGGGTTGGGTTGGATTGGGGTGGGTTGGGTTGGGTTGGGTTGGTTGGGTTTGGTTGAGCTGGGCTGGGTTGGGTTGGGTTGGGTTGGGTTGGGTTGGGTTGAGTTGAGTTTGGTTGGGTTGAGTTGGGTTGAGTTGAGACTGGGTTGGGTTGGATTGGGGTGGGTTGAGTTGGATTGAGCTGGGTTGAGTTGGGACTGGGGTGGGATGGGTGAGGTGGGGATGAGTTGAGATGGGTTGGTTGGGTTGAGTTGGGTTGAGTTGGATTGGGTTGGGTTGAGTTGAGTTGGTAAGGTGAAGTCGGGTTATGAGTAACAAGATGACTAAATGCAAATCGATCTTCTCAGTAAACATGCAATGCATTATTGATAAGGTAGGTCCTTTTGATACTAGAAATTACGATTGTGTGCTAACAAAGTGCAAGGTATCAGTTGTGCCTGTGTACGGTACATAAAATATCTATAATCTAAGTGAATCAGACAATGACATATAAGTTATACCTCGGTTTGCTGGCGTAGTGTCTATTTCTGTACCAAAATAAAAAAAATAATAAAGCAAAGGAACGAACTGTAAAGTAGATAGTGTTTGCTTGAAGCCGCATTAAAAACACCAGCCTGGAGTTCATTTTTATTAACAAAATTGATTTGGACAATATGGAACTGAAATCAAAAATAAAGGAACTTAAATGGGACAAAAGAAAGATTGAATATAATAATTAGAATCTTGTTTACATTTCATCAGTAGCATTTTTGTCGATATTTGTCGTTTTTTGAACCAAACTTTACTCACCCTTTGAGGCTATTGTTTTCTTTGGCGCAGCCGTTGTTGTAACCCACGAGTTCACTGCGACAGACAGAAGCGTGATGAGAAGGTTATAGACCAATACGTTATTAAACTTTTGTGTAAAACGATAATATTGAACTGTTAGTTAAAGGACGCCCTCTGTTGATGTGGATATGTGAAAGGATCTACAGGCAATATTCTATTGACGCCAAACTTTGCTTTGGGTTTATATAAGTAATTTTAATACCATGGATCAAAACAATTGAATTATATGTTCTCACTGTCACTGGATTTGAGCGAAAGAGAGTGCGGCAAGCTGTAGTGAACTCTGCTTTCTGCTGGCCATTCGCAGTTGTCCTGCAACACATTCCAAAAACCTTGAACGATTTCAGGTAAACTAAATTGCACATCAACAGAGGGCGCACTCGAAAATTGAAAGTCCGTGCTTCACTGACTTTATCATTCAAAGAGGGAAAATAAAAATAGTGTCGCAGTCTAAGTTAAACAAAGTGACTATTTGCAATTCAAAACAAAAACTACCAAAAAGCATGCACGTGGAAATATAAAAAATATATCGTTTACACTGTATATGAGAATTCAAAAAGGAAAAATATCCATTCAAAATGTAAATGTAATAATAAAGAATGTTGCACAGAATGGCATGGAGATAAAAAATGGAAAATCAAAGCCAAATTTGACTTTCACTGAAAACTTCGTGTGTAAGCCTTAATCAGGTTCTCAAAATATAGCTCTATGCTGTTGTTTCTGGTTTAGAGTTGACGGAATCATTTGGGTTTCAGGTATGTTTACATCTGAGGAAGTAGCTAAACTAAGAAGGCTTATGCCACATTTTAAGTTTTAGTTAGTCTTTAAATTGCTGCCTTAGAACCTTCACATACTTGTATCTAGCAGACTAACATGGCTGTATACATGTTTGTAAATCAAAAATAACATATGGCATCAACGAATTCAACATTATTAGCAAAGTCCTGCTGTTTTGTTACTGCTCGGGCTCAGATTTGTTTAAGACTGTAACTTGTTTCATGTAGAATTTTTCTTGTTTCATGTTGATTTCTTTAAATAAAAAAGCCCCAAAACATTTATATTTCCACTATTCTTATCAGTGAAAGTCGTCTTTTCGTTACCTTGTGCGGTGCTGGAAGGTTTCTCTGTGCAAAGTATGAATGGGTGCAGAGAAAGTAAATGACACGTGAAAAAAATAAGAATAATGAAGATGAAACATAAATGGGAGGTCATATGGACGAAGGTCACCACATGGGGGCGTGTTGAGTGCATTGTGATGAGGTGAAATAATAGATTGTACGAGAAATTTGGTGAGAAATCGACACCAACATCAAAAGATGATTGCGAGACACATTATGCTTACATCGGTCGACAAAAATTATTGTCATAAATGTCGTAATAATGGCTTACTGTTTGATTAAACCACATGCTGGGCTTCTGAAACAGACTCTTAACTAGCCCGCGCGCACTTTCACTAGCCCGCATGTTTTCCTTTTTAGAGTGTCTCGTAAAAAATAACGCGCATACATCTAAAAAGTGTACTATGAGGCAATCTTGTCATTTTTTTTGTTAGAGATTTAATAGTTTAAACCTAAACAGTTAATAAAACTAGACACAAATTGATACACGGTTTGCTTTCTGAATTTAATGATATCTTTCTTCCTGTCCTTTCATCTTTGCCGTAGCCCAAAATGTTTGACTCGCCAGCCGGGCTACTCAAGGGATAGTTGACAAGCCCGCCGCTGTTTTAACTAGCATTTTACTAGTGGGCTACCACTAAAGTCGAACCCTGAGCACATGCATTACATTTGCCCAGTTGTTTTGCACACAGCTATGAATAAGACTCTTGCTACAATCCTGGCCAAATCTCGCTGGGCCCCCAACCCCCCGGCCCCCTGTCAATGTTGTCCGTCATTGCGCGGTGTGTGCTCCATCAGCTGGAGAATACAACATTGACTGGGGAGCGGGGGACTTGCTGACCGTACGCGAAGGCTAAGGTTATTTCCAAGAGTCCCAGCCATTTTGGCCGGAATTGAACCTAACCAAGAATGTGTCGATCGTCTAAGGACTGAATGTTTTGATATTTGTCAAATAGATGTGGTGCTGGAAACAGTAGAAAACAACCAAGGAACAAGACCGACTCACCCAGGGATGTGTAAAATGTGAACGTTACATTGTCCCCGTCGCCGTATCCGTTGTAGCCCCTGAGGGTGACCTCGTACGTGACATTTGCCCTGAGGTCACGTAGAACGTAGAATTGACGACCTAGTTCCGGGTCATGGGGGATGTCCACCTCGAGTGGAGAGTCGGGACTGTGGGAGTTGACCTTCTCGACCCCACCCGTCTCTTTCTCCTGTCAAAGAATTGAAGGATCTCAAAATCTTTGGATTGTGATTTATACGACTAGCAATAACACTTGTTCTTGTAAAGGTGGTAGAATCGACTTCAATATTATAGACGCGTGTTACTACATGCCGTATATATAGCCAAGTTTTTTTCGGACGGCAATTACTGCAATCAGGTATAACCGTAATGCGCATGCGTCAGGTGGTATCCGAATAGTTCTGGCATTTAAAGGGTCCACGAAATGATTTTTTTCGGAGAAACACACTGTATGCTACTTTCTACTCTTTTTAAAATGTATGAAAACTTTTTGATATCATTTTTGGTTTATGTTATTTAAAAGTGCATGTTCTTTTTTGGACAACTGAGGGCGCTGTTGCCGTGATGTTATTTCCGGGAGACACTGCTCAGTTAAAGGTTTTGTGTACAAATGTGAACCAAGAAATCTGCTCAGTGATAACATTTATGAGAAAGATTTGCTGCCATGTACTTACACAACAACGAATCACAAACAAGTTGCAACATTGAGGTTTTTTTGCTCATGAATATGGAAATTTGCATGAGCATAAAAACCAAAAAGCCACCAAAATACCCTTGAAAACGGCAAAATGAAAATTGAAAATAAGGTTAAATGGGACACAAGGGTGCATTTTCAATAATTACATTAAACAAAATTACCTTTCATGGGCCCTTTAGCTTCCCTTAAAAAAGAGTACCTCAGAGCCATGAAACAGAAGAAAAGTGTGCATACGTTTGTATTTATAAGCAGCGTCTATCCTTTACTCCATCTTGGAACGATGACCCCACACGTCATCAACGTTAAATTCACCGCATTTCCTCACAGCGACGTAAGCCTTAACGAAGAACGCTGGTTCGAAAATTTGGCGACAAGTTGTCGGATAACGTCGTCCCATTTATAAAAATATAAAGTTATTTCAAATCACATGATATATGTTTCACGCATGCGCATTAAGGTAAATGACTGTATTCTAGCTACTGCAGAAGAAACAAAATACATTTGGACGCAGTAATATCAGTACTGCTTGTTTACCTGGAACCACCATCCATAGTAAGACATCGTGTAGCCATCAATGGGGGTGTATCCAGCCGTGCCCTGTAACTGCTGCATGCGGCTCCCCATGGTCCAAACTAACTTGTAGGAGTGGCGACGTATTCCGATCGGATTGCTCACAATATTGGGCGGGCGAAGACGGCCTAAGCATTTCATGAATAAAAAAATAAATAAATATCGAGAACATCAATTTGTCAGAAGCTTCACCCCAGGTGTCAGCATAGTCTCTTGTTGTGTATGCAGAAGTAAGAGTGAAATACAACAAAAAACAAATTTCTGCGCACACGAGTTAAAACAAAATGGCGGGCATGTGTACTGCCCTCTAGAGTTGAAAAAGGTAGTAAAATACTCACCACTAACTTCAATCACATCTTCTGTGGTTCCTAGTATGTTTGTAGCTTGACATCGGTACACACCGTAGTCTGTCTCTGGATTGACACTCACAAGCACAAAACTGTGGTAGCGTGCAAAAATGTATGGCTTGTTAATCGAATAATGGCCTTTATTGAACCACTGAGGGCGTTTGTTTTGTTACAGTTTTTTCACAGTTTGTTATGTGAGAAATGAAATTATTTGATGGGCCTTATTTACGAATCGGCCATATTGCATTGAAAGTTAGGTTAAGCCATAATTTTTTTGAACTTGCGAAGAGAAATGAAAGCAAGGTAATTTATAATGAATTCGTGTCTGCTTCAATGAATTATTTGTACATTTGTAATTTTTAAAACCATATTTAAAAAAAACTACGGTAAAATAGGGCCGCATTGTGCCTTCATAAATAGTCTGGCGCCAACCCAATCAACAGAAGCGCAAACCTTATTTGATTTATATCACCCCGACGCATAATTGCATCTTATAATAGTTTATGCGGTATCCGCTGCTATGCACATCAGATTCGGACCAGCCAACCGATCCCGTTAGCTCGGTGGTCGAGTGGTGGGACGTCTGCACTGGAAAGCAGGAGGTCGTGGATTCGAGTCCTGCCCGAGTGATTTTTTGTTTTCAACTTTCACTCGGGAGGTAACACACTGAGTATACAGTGTTTAAACGTCGGTGAAGGGCATTACCTAATTTGATCCATTCAACAGTGAATAATTAATGAAATACATTCAGGGAACTCGACAAAAATGACCAACTCGCGAATAAGGCCCATACTCTCGGAAGGGAAGCGAATTTTTTTTTTTTGAACAGCGAATGCAGGAGGATGGAGATCTCATTTTGCCGGGAAAACATCAATGGAAAAACAGGTAGTGAAGATGAACTCAAAATTTGTCTAAAAACAAAGTTAGTTTTGAATCATAAAAAGTAAAGTTTTGAATTATGAAAAGTAAAGTGGTGAATAGTAAATCATAAAAAGAAGACTAGATATAGGCATGCGTCAGAAGGGAAAATCAAACGAGCAAAAGGTACAGGAATTCAAGGTGTCACATTCTGGCCGTGATTTCATGGAGGAGCGACGGAGGAATTTAGGTGTTGAAAGGAAGTAGGCTGCTGCGAAATGCGTGCAAGGTGCATGGTATCAGCGTGTGTTTTTTTTGCAAGCAGATACATGTCAGTAGTAGGCCTACATGCGCAGGTTTGATACCAAGATCGTATGCAATCATGTCTTTCACGCGATTCAAACATTAACCGCCACAGAATCGCCCTTGGATAGGGGGCTTGGTGTAGCCGGCATTTATCTTTCTTTTGTTCAAGTCCACAACCGATTATAGTCATTGACAACAATGCGCATGTGTCAGTTATCAACGGACTGGTTTTCAGACTGAAATTCTCTTTTGAAAACCCCCAAAGCCACAAATGATGAAAATAAAAGCTAAAACTCATTTCATTGGATTGTTTGACTTGATTATTTACGATTTTGGAAAGAAGAATGTCCGAGATCCGAACATTTTGGCATTCAGCACATCGTAAAATGACCGCATAAACCACCAGGCAACTGCTTGGCGTTAAATATAAACCTTAGGCCTATAAAGTCTTCTAAATATAACTCATGGATTTATATTGGCCTAACTGCAATCACGTAATATGTTTAACGAATGTGTATTCTTGTAAGTGGCTGTACTTGGTGGTAGGTGAAATATTTGTGTACGGGAAAACAACAAGTGTCTGAAGAAACGCAGCCTCGGCCAAGCATGGTAATAACGAAGCAGTAAAGGTACTTGCAGGCAGTGTATAGGGTAGTCTAGGTCCAAGACTGGAGTTGGATATGGCCACGCTGCCGCAGCGGTAGAGGGCGCTATACACTGGGTAAAAGAAGTCCAGTCCTGGAAACTCTGACTCTCGGACCCATTAATAGGAAACCCAATCATACCTTACGCGCAGTTTTTTCTTCAAACAAACACGCTTCAAAGTCAGGTTATCTTGTTTTTAAAGCGGCCTACCTCAACAAGTGAGTGTGGCTTCGTTTTCAGGGTTCCTGACCCGTAACCATGGCCAGAGGTTTAGGGCTGGGTTTTAATGCATATGTTGTGTCCTCCGGCAAACTACTTTACCCCAACTGGCCTCTCTCTGCCATGGAGTAAATGGGAACACTGGCTGGGAGGAACCTGCGATGGACTTGCATCGCTTCCTGGAAAAAAAGATTTATTTCCAGTCATTTCATGACACGGAAACTGGAGATAAGATCCGTCCCGATGGGCCATATCGCTTTGTTAATTTACTTGTACTACAGCCACGGCGGTTTGACCTCATTTGACAGGATCGGACCGACTTCTATAAGAAACATAATCCAAATCCAGTCATGGACAAAGATGGAAATGTCAAGGGAGGAACGGTGGGCAGGCTTGTCTGCTGGGAAGGGGCTGAGCACGTCTGAGTGAAAACAAAACTTGCCTAGTTCTGTTCCCGCAATCTACGGAGGGCCTGCGGGTTAGTACGAGAAAAGAAAGACTGGGTATTATTCTATATGACATAGAGACTTAGTACTTTGAAATTATAGGTAAAATAAAACAGAAACAGAAACATAAAATAGAAAAAAAAAGAAACTTGACAAGCCTGCCCTACTGATGGTAAGACAGTTCACGTAAAATGAATAATCCGTGGCGTTGAGCTGCACTATTTAGCCCTGTGTTCTTCAACATGCCAACTACCTACACTTGTGAAGATACTTAAAAAAAAACGTGGTATTTTACCCGGATTAACCATTTCTAATTTTAGTTGCCCATGAATTATTTCAGTACATGTAATATTGGAGGAGACGGTGCCAGGGGATTAGACCTTTATCAGGGTACGCCATCTTAAAAATAAAAGCGAGGAATACAAGGTGCACCCAAGTATACAAATGCCCATGGACACCAGTGTTAAATCCCGTACTTCAAAATTCTTATTAAAATACTCAGAACTCTCACAGCTGTTCATGCGGCACAGACAACAATGATCAACATGTCGTCTTTTATTTTATTTTCTATTTTTGGTGGTTTGATCCAAAGAAGACCGGCCCTAAAAACGACTGATGTTGCCAGAACTGTAGCCATTTTAAAAAAGGATGCCTCCATCATGGGCGGAAAAGCAAAAAAAAAAAAAAAAAAGAGGCGCGAAGACAAAGTGGTGTAAATTTAATGAGTTGGGGGGGGGGGGCAAAATGTCAAAACAAAATTTTGCCCCCCTCTAGAAAAAATCCTGGCGACGCCCATGGCCTCCATAACATTGCTAAATCGCGCCACTTATCGGACCCAATCAGAATTGGAAGCTCCAAGTCCAGGTCCGAGGTACAATGCCACATGTCTTCATTTCCCAGTTCCATGGCTCTCAGAACTCTTTAATGTAAAATGAGTTGAGTGTATAACGATTATCCATGAGCTCGGCAGACGGATTGAGGGCCTATTTACTGGGGTGGTGCCACAACGCCAACAAATATGGCGGCGCAAATAGTGTGTACGGTGAATGAGTGACTCTCGTAACATTACAGTAGATTGACACTCTCGTAAGCGGATAGATATAGCTCAAATATCCCGGTACTATAAATCATCATTCTATATTTTAAAGAAGGATCTCAAATAGACTTAAGGCACCAAATCAGTTGCTTGACTGAAGTTTAAGTGTTAGTTTATTACGAATACATCTACAATTGTGCAGTGATGCGCGACTGAATTTTATAAAACCCATAGGTGTTGAGGCCAAGGATTTGGAGTATCTGCACAATTAAACAATTTTCAAAATTGATCTCATGGTTTTGTACTTATTTTTAAAACAGCGAGACTAACACATTTTTTTTGGGACATGATGTATGTCTCGCTTTGATTTTCAAGATGGCGTAGCCTGATAAAGGTCTCTTAATTACGTTTGTTCTATAATCCACCTTCCACCCAAAAACAAATATGCAACTTATTATGTTACGAACCCTCTTGATATTTGGCTTTCCCACCTTCTAAGTACTTAGTGACGATAAAATAATCGTTGATTAAAAAAACACACACACAGACAGCAACGGAAACAAATTACACAGAAGCTAAATGGAAAGAGAGTAACCCTGATAGAAACATCAACATTTGTAGGTATATTTCAAAGACAAATAACAAAACAAAAGAAGGCAGTAGAAGGTAAAGGAGGTAACGTTAAACATTTAGAACTGGGCACTATGAAATGTTTTCATGATCCAAAACGCAATTAAACCCACGGATAATTGAATCTTACAGCATCTGGGATCTTTTGGAGATGTCTCTTCCCGTGAGAATCTGGTTGTCCTTTGTCCACGTGTATATCGCTGGGGGTTGGGACCTGACCTGGCACCGTAGCTGGCGATAGTCGCCCTGGCCGCACCGTATATCTCTCTCGTCCGCAGTGACTTCTGGCTTGACTTCAAGACGATACACAGGTCAAGAATCGATTAGCATCCGGTAGGCAAGCGGAGGTAGTGGAGGCTCAACATCACCCCAAACAGAGAAGGGGGGTCATGTTTCATTGTTATAATATAACGGCCCAGAAGATACTCCACTATGACCCCATTTTTTTTAGGTCTGCGCGAGAAACATAAGCTTAACGATACGTTCCAGAACCGCTCCTAGATCTTCAAATGAGATTGTGATTTCAGATTGTGATTTCAGTATTAATTCAGTAGGTCACTCTTGGGATAAATGCAATGATCCTATATGCCTTTAACGTCGAACCTAATTAACTGGTTAAGGTGTAATTCAGGCGCGGTTCTACGGGGTGGGGGGGGGGGGGGGGGGGGGGGGGGGGTGGGGGGGGGGGGGGTGGGGGGGGGGGGGGGGGTGGGGGGTGGGGGGGGGGGGGGCTGTGGGGGGGGCTGGGGGGGGGGGGGGGTTAGCCCCCCAAATTTTTTGTCTAGCCCCCCCCCCCCCAATAAATTCCGGATTGTGATGTACATGCGAACGGTCTCCCCCTAAAGAAATAGTCATGACAAGGGTGCATTTGTAGTAAATATAGTGTGAATGATTTTAGGATTTTATTGGCGCTCCCCATTGAAAATATGGGATGAGCCCCCCCCCCCCCCCTACCCAACCCATTGAATTTCGGAGGCCTAAGTGTCTGGAGAAAATAATCGGTCTACATTTCAACACGCCTCCCTGAACAAAATTCTGGATCCACCCTGCTAGCCCCCCCCCCCAAAAAAACCATATTATAACGTAAATTGGGACTTCCAACTTACACTGCACAATGACGGTTATCCAGCGTTCTTTAGGCGTGTCACGGTAGCCGTTCTCCGCTGTACACGTGAAGACCCCAGCCTGGTCCCGTTGTATGTTGGGTATGTTCAAGGTGGCGTTGGTAGATACCACTGGGTAGAAACTGGTGTTTACCATTAGTCGCCATGTGATCCTAAAAGTTCCACAAACGGAACATTTCAACGGTTAGAAATGACACTATAAGGCACCGTATAAGACATAATAAGCCGCCCCCTTCTCCCTGCTAAGGGCGTCCTCACTATGGACATGTCTTTGCTCCTCAGTGAGTACCACTGTAACAACTGCAGCAACTAATGGTGATCATTTAGCGAAAGGGATAGCTGCGAAAAAAACTTCCTAAGATCAGTAGTAGAGAACCAACCCAACTTTAATATAAGTTGCCTGTTAAAATGTGCCTGGTAACCTTTTTCATCAACTTGATATTTGCTTGACAAGTTCATTTTAAGAGACATAAAGCCTAGTTTCCCTATATCTATAGCCGTTAAGCTGACACAGACTGCGCAGAAAGTGCGCGGGACCGTCGGTAAAGTTGAACAGGGTTCAACTTTGCCGATTGTAGGGGAGATAGTTTGCGTCTGTCTGTGCTGTCGTTGACATTTGCGGATGAATTGTTTCCATATGTCTTTGTTGCAAGGGGGGATTTGTTTGAGTTGCTCTCTGCGTTTCTTAGCGGGATATGAAAAAAGAAAAAGCTCAATGGGATCTCGGAAACTGTGGGCCAACGACTTCGTGTTCGTGCTCGTGTCATGGCTATGGTGCCATGTTATTTCTGGAAGTAGTGTTTTGAGTAAAACAACAAAAAATCAGGTTTCTGACTCCATGGTGAACTTGGACCCGAGTTTGGTCACGTGACATGTTGAGGCTGGGTTACTGATGCTTTTGACAACGTTAGGTTGAAATCGGTCAAAATATGTAGGAGCAATAAACAATGTTAAGGTTTGTTCCAAACTAACTAACGGACTAAGGGAGAGAAATGATGATTTGCTAAACTGTAATTACCCGCAGCTAAGAACTAGGCTTAGCATAAATTTGTTGGTTTTACCGTGGTAATGGTGATCCCTCGGCCAGACACGTCAGCATAACGTCATCGGATTCGTTGTAGGCAAATCGGTTGCTGTTGTTCTTCTCGATGGTGGGCGTGGCTCCCGGCTGTGGGAGGATCCCCACTATTTCCGGCGCGACTGTTTAGCGTATGAAGATAACATAACATGTAAACAAATAATGTTGAGTATGAGATGAGGGTATGTACATGTGGAGACGATAATATATGACATTGTATTCACATAATTTGAATATCAGTTACCGTTTTGCGCTGGGCATTTCTGACTTTGTTAGTTTTGTATAGCTAGTTTTAAACCTTCCATATATCTATTCATTTATACAATATACAGGGCGTCTTGCGGATGTTTACACCATCTTCAAGGTAATAGACTTAGATTGAGAATACCGTTTGTTTCATTGAGATTGCTTTTGTAAATCCAAAGATATGTTTGAATAACGGCAAAGCCAAGAAACCCATTTTGTGCCACTTTCTGTGAAGCAGTTAAAATCAGTTTAGTCCTAGTCTAAAACCAAATCACTTTACTGTTAGTGATTTAACATTTTTAAGCAGAGAGTGCAATACTTATTTATACTTAATTGATCTCTTTCATTGAAGTTTTAAAGATATATTTGTATGTTTCAACATAATAACAAAACTCTATATTCTTGTGTCAATGGAATGTTTGTCTTACACCCATAGTGATAATCTTATCAAATGAGCCATTTTGGCATTGTCTGATCTTTGAAGCACTCGCTTCCTAGAAAAGGCACAGATTTTTTTTTTTTTTTTGGGGGGGGGGGCTTTGCAGTTATTCAAATATATCTCTGGATTTACAAAAAACGAAATTGTAAAGTGTCAAAAATGGCGGGGTTTTACATGCACCATTATTTGCAGGACAACCTGTATAGATGCAAGTGCAATCAGTTGCTTTTTTTTCTTGTTAAAAAAAAAATCACGAAAAAAAAACATGATTTGTTCTTTTATGTACATTTGAGAAAAAAACAACACAAAAACAAAGTCAAACCAAATTAAACGACTGAAACAAAGAAGCAAAACATTCATCATTTATTCTCTGATGTATATTTAATTAACCCACCAAGTGAGTGAAATTTGACGTTTGTGCATGACATTACGAACATGAAGCTAGCTGCAGGCCATCAATGAATCATCCATATTTGGAAAATACAATCCTCAATCCTTCATGTCTTCATGAAGCAATCAACCTAGCCTACGTATGCTGGCGCGTCATCCGCCTCCACTTGTCACACAGCCCGCGATCGCAGACAAGAAACGACAGGTGTTTTCACTGTGATTAATATAACCATCAAATTTTCAGGGGGTTCTGTCACGAAACGAATTGTTCGACTTTAAGGTGGGATCATTGTACCTGAAAAGCTACAACCAATAGACCGAGGAGGCTCCACTGGGGCTACATCTCGAATGAGTCATTAGCCTTGGTCAATGCTCTCGTCGTTATTCGTCCCGTACGCGGTCAATCGTCGGCATATATCCTCACGCGCTATGCACATGCATGTAAAAATACAGCGCGAACAGCGACCTCACGCGGCCACTATTTTTTATGCAAATCAGTTGGAGACGATGTCGAGCCTTGGTTCAATCGTCGGCCAAAGCTTATGTTTTTCTTTACTTTGCGCTAGATTTCCAGCGCACGACCTCGTATGCGAATACAGATAATGTAGGCAGGGCTAATATGTGGAGTGTCCAATCACACCTTGGTAAATCCCGACGTCATCAAATTATTTGCAGCTATTCCGCCTTTTGCGGACGTGACAGGAACCACAGTTTTTGTGCATTGGTGCCGTGTGCAGAGACACACAATGTGTTCGTGTATGGATTATGTACGGTGCCACGTTTCACTATGCAAGTTTCCACGCAACGATCGACCAATAAGAAAACGACATTTAAGGTCAGCTAAGGCTACTAACATAATGAGCACCACCCCCAAAAATTCACATGGACGATTGAACCAAGGCTCGACATCGTCTCCAACTGATTTGCATAAAAATAGTGGCCGCGTGAGGTCGCTGTTCGCGCTGTTTGCTAGCGCATGAGGATATATGCCGACGATTGACCGCGTACGGGACGAATAACGACGAGAGCATTGACCAAGGCTACCGAGTCATGGACAGCTGTCCATAACAATTTACAGAATTAATAAAGCGCACGTGTCCACAAATTCCAAAGACAATGTCAGCTTCCATTCCAGCGCGAAGCAGCTAAAATCAGCAACCTGCAACCCACAACCTGCAGAATTGCCCGCAGACCGCAAGTTCAATGCTTCAATCACAAGGCCATGGCACTCAATCGTACTTTGAAAGAAAAATTGGCGGGGCATTGCTTCTCAGGCGGTTAGGCATAACAAATCGCTATCATTAGACTCGCGTGCGTTCAATTCTACCTAGATTTCTTCAAGCTTGTTGCCATAGTGTTATACAACTTATCTATTGCTATCCATGCAGTATGATATTACTTCAGGAGGTCATCTTTGTATTGCAATTGCGCATGTGCAAACAAGATTCGACGATTTTCAATTCGGGAAAAATGCCCACATTTCGTAAGTGACGTAAACCAAATCCACATTCTTAATAGTATGATTTCAATCAGCGAACGGTGGAAGAATTATATCCGAGTCAGAGAAAAGCCAATGCTTGAGACTTGCCCGAAGTTTCGGAAAAGTCCATGATTCTCGCGAGTAGGCCATAAAATGAACCACTAATTCTTTCCACTAACACTCCGATGTCAAAGCGTGATGTAATGGGTCAATGTGGTCGCAATTCGAGTCACACTTACCGACAACCTGCAGCGTGATGTTGACTGAGGTAGGCTGCGGCATGGTGTTCACCTGGCACAGGTACTTGCCCTCGTCGTACCGCGTTATACGGCTTATCTTGAGGTTATACGTACTGTTGCCGTCTGACTCGATCCGGTAGCGTTTGTCCAGGTGGACTCGCATGGTCCCGTGAAAGAGGGCTGGAAAATAATGATATATTAAAAAGAGATTCAGTCATGACAAAATTCAAATGTACAGTGCAAAGCGTTTTTATATATCTTTGTTCACACCTCGACTTGACTTGAGTCGTGATTTGACTCGCGATTTGTCTCGCGATTTGGTATGTGATAATGTTGCCTTTTGATTTGAATTGTGAAGGACCTGACTACAGCTTTGTATGAGATGAAAAGCCTTATGACATTACTTGATTGTTGGTGGGAGATTTCACCATCCAGTGAGCACCAACCCCATGGGAGTGATGATAACAGTTTTCTCAAGACCAATCACGGTTACACTATCGAATAAACTTTAACATGATGTATCTTCTGTCAATGTTTGGATACACATATAATGCCGCAGGAAGCGCACGTGCCAATCTACGAGCGCAAAGAACTGAAGCCTAATTAGTGAGTCTTTGTTTGATCCAGAAATATGGCAGTTATGGCGAGATTCGTCGCTCAAAATTTGTGACTTTAATATTTTCAAGCAACGATTTCAGTTCAGGGGAAAGATTCAGCGACACCTAAGGTTGACAATTTTTCCGACTTTCAGAAAAAAATGAGATTTTCAGACGAGGATCTCGACGTCGGTCACTTTGTTGGTTAAAGTTGTCCTGAGCATTACAATGCACAGCTAGGACTCTGAAATTCAGTGACTTCTAAAGAAGTTCGCACGTTGCTTTTATACGCAGTCGAAGTTACATATCAAATCAACCAATGTAGTCAAGTCCATCACACGTCCACTACAAGTCCGATCATAAGTAAATCACAAGCCCTTTCAGCACTCAAAGTCACACAAAATACAGAGAATAATCAATCAAAAAATAGAGGAATGCTTTTGTCACAGTTCTTTGAATAGTTTGTGGCTTGACTTGGGACTGGAGGACTTGTGATAGACGTGTGATGGACTGGACTACAACAGTGCCCAACATGACATGTGGTCCTCAGTGAACTTTCTCCAGCATTGACCCAGTCTTGTTAACTCAGTGATTCTAAAAACAAAATCGAAATATACTCACGTTTAGGCTTGGATCCACTCAGCATCCATGACACCGTGTGGTCCCCTTTGTCCTTCACCTTGCAAGTCAGGGTGACGTCTTCCCCCTCGTGTTGGGAGATGAAAGGATTGGACTCTGTCTCCACCAGGGGTGAGCCTGGGACTGAGAGTGAGAAAGGAAGGGATGGAGGGACAGACTGGCTTGGGTGGGGTCAGGCATTCTACAGATGGGGTCACCAGGCTCAACAATCCCATGCCTGATGGTTCTGAATGCAGACTTTGGACCACGTTTAGGTGCCACTTCGATATAGACAACTCCGAAAAATATGTCTACTATATCGAAGCCCAATCCCTATAACAAGTGTAGTATCATCCCTTATGATTGTTTTTTTTTAATAAATGACATTGTGACGTTTGTGGTTCAATAGATTTTGTATATTTCGGGCAGAAAAATACAGCATGTAAACTGGATTCTCGTTTCACATAAAGCCCCAGCAACATTCGTCCGGTAGTCGGAGCTTATTGTCAGACCTGAAACTGGTTTAAAGGCGCTGATTTTACTCAGCTTTTTTTCGGGCTGCCAACTTGTTTTCACTGTAATAATTGTGCATCATAATGTTTGTTGCTCGGCTGCATCAAGATATGGACGGCATGGACTTTTCGGAACGGTGAGTCTTCTCTGTCGACGTTCGTTAGTTCTTAGTTGCTTTCATGACTACATTAATCAGTGACTTGCCTGATATCATTTAGGGATCGTTGAGTCTACCGAAAGGACCAACGTGTATCTGTTGGCACCGTATTTTTGACAGCTTATTATAAGCTCTTTCAAATTCGAATGATGTAAAGTTAACTGTGCATTTTGTATTTGTTTGGTGGAATATGCAGTCATGTGACAGAAGTCGCATTTCTCTTCAAAGGAGAAACAAGTAGCGTCCATATAAGAAACAGAGAAAGAGATGCCAAAGAGAAGTTACGTAAACAATCTGAACACTGTAAGGGGAGGTTATAACACCGATGGGTCTTAATAAAGTGCACTTGTCGTGGCAAGATAATGGTGCAAGCTGAAAACAGTGGGAATGGTAGGTGCAGTGAAACAACCAGTGCTATCTTCCACAGCGCGTCACAAAATACCCGCAACATTTTTCTTCCGAGGCTCTAGCGTTGCCGCGGTAACACGTACCGCCATTATATTTATTTCATTGTAAATCAATCATTCTCAATGTGGAAACGGTTATTCATGTTCATGTGACGATCTCGTTATCTTTTATTTTCTACTCCTTAAATGATTTCACAATATTGGTCTTCGTTGTAAGTCCAATTTGAAATTCAAGTGTTAGTATGTACCAATTTAAAAAGCGCGCTCAAAGTGTGACTCGAGTTTGCATCTGATGTAGTGCATCATCGATTTTTCCTTGAAATCGGTTGAGTTTGTTTTCGACATGCCTTTATTTGAACACAACAAATTTTAAAACTATTTTAATTCGAAATGAAATCAATACTCGCCAGGGATAAAGATCTTTAAAGCTTTAAAATGGCATAACATGCAGGAAAAAAATGTTTAGCGTTCCCGCCCGCTTCTCTTTTGGATGCTGCCTTTTTTTTTTTAATTTAAAAAAAAAAAATTCACAGTGGCACCATGTTGGCGTCTTTGTATGTTGCATCTAGCCCATATAAAGCTGATATGTCATTTCCTGAGTCCAAGTGGCGGCCATTTAAAAAAAAAGCTGGCGGCCCTCTTGAAAAATAGCCCCGTCGGTAGTTTTGCAAAATGGGTCGGGCGGCCATTTTGAAAACAAAATTTGCCTCCTCCATTTGTTTTCAAAAAGGCAAGACCTTAAACTTTTTTTTTTACTTGGCCTAATGACGGTACGTGTTTCCGCGCCGATGCAAGAGCTGCGCAAAATATAAAAGTTGCGGGTATTTCGGGACGCGCTGCAAAAGCGTTTGTAAGGCAACAGAAAGCGGGTGCTAAATACACCAGCGGCAGTTAGTGCGGTAGACTGTGCTTCAAAGTGGAAAAGGCGTCAGGTTAGAATTTATGAAGCCAAAATTAAAAAGTTAGTAGACATCATCTTAAGTACGTGAGATAAATTAATGCAGGGGTACAGCTTTTCAAGGCAAACATATCACAACGTTTTTATTAGTAAACCTTGTTGAGGCGGGGTTTGATGGTAATGGTTTTGCTTTGCTGCTGAGGCATAGATAGACCCTTCATAGATTCATTGATATTGTATTAGATTAACCGACAAAAAAAACAACTATGTTACCCGCAACGGATAAGATCTACTCGAATTCCTACTCAAATTAATTAATAATGAGAAGAATAACGATCACGGCCAAAAGTAAGGGGCATTCTTTTCATCTAGCTGCCACACCGAAAGGTATTGAGAGTTTCAACCTGTTTAGCTCACCATAAATTCGAAAGAGAAATTTTCTCGTACTTAACGTGTAAAGCGGAGCAGTTGTCTTCTTGAGAAAAAAAGTAAAAGAATAAGGGACAGATCTAGAAATGTGCACGCACTTAGATTTTGTACTCTAATATAACTGGACTGTTTACTTTAAAGAGGAAAGACTTACTCATAGAAGCAAAAACGTCGATATAAAATGTACTTAATGTTTATAAGAACTGATGATTTTTTTTTGTAAGCAAAGAACCAGGAGAAGAGCCACGCTTCGCATTTTTGGGACTCACACCCACGAAACCTTGGACAGCGTCGAGAGTGCACGCTCGCCCGTTGCCGCCGGTCGGGAGCCCGACGGGCTAACCTATCGCGCTAGGCACCGTCACCTCATAGTCCACCTCGGTGTAAATGTGTGATTGTTCGGGGGAAAAAACACCGAAAGGCCATCTAATGAATAAGTATGAAGCTCTGAAGACATTCGTTGCTGTGAAAAGTCTCTTAATTGGCTATTAAATGTGATATCAGAGGGAACAGGTTTCAGGGCCGAGGGGGTATTGTATAGCTGCAACCAACGTTCGACCTTATAAATGATTCAGAAGCTTGCCTGGAAATGTCGCCATATTTTGTGGCTACCTTAAGTGCTGTTTGTACCCAACGTGGGAGTATTAGATGTTGGCTGGGAATATTAATATCCCCTTTGTTTATCCTAACATGGAGTAGTTTTTGAACCCTTAGGAACATTTGACACCATGCATTCAGTTCTGTTAAATAATTCAGACGATTTAAGATTTTTGTTATATGAATCTGCAAATACACCGTTACTTTGGGTTTCGATTTTTTTTGCTTAAGTTTCATTTAAACAAAAATCGCATCTTATCATGTTCCTCCTAGGGAATTGTACTACTGGGAGAATATAATAAAGGCTTGGGTAATATTGCAGCTTCAAGGGATGTCTAAAATGCTTAAAGATGATGGACGATTTTATCTTCTGCGAATTCAAAAGTGTCAATATCACTATATGACATTTAAGGAGTTAAAATCATTTGATAAACCTATTTGCTTCGGAAGTGTTGAAACGAAATTGATTAGAAATACATAAAATAAAGTGTACCGATGCACCGGGAAGTCGTGTGAGATTTAGTCAAATTCATGAGCTGATGCTCGAATTGTCTAGAAAAATATGTAGGCAGGTGATTTTTCAGGCGCTATTCATAACCATTTCTTAGACAGTGCAATAGTCAGAGAGGGGGAAATGGGTAAATCGTGATTGAAAAAGAGAGATCAGTCAGTAAAATAACTGTCATTTACCGTTCATGCACATTCGTCAATTACATGGGAATAAAAAAATACAAGAAAATCGTTAATGACTAATAACAACAATACTAATAAAACAATTGGTTTTGTAACGGGTGAAATTCATTCACAAAATGCAGTCCAACAACATATCACATTTCAAGAGACCTCCAAGTGATTGAAGGAAATGAGGAATGTATTAACGAAACAAACAAATGAAGGAAACAAGTGCAAAGGATTACACACATTTCAAAGGAAACTGAACAAATGTTGCGACAAAATGTAAGATCTACAGACAATATTAACGTCAGCAATTGTTTAAGATAACTGTTAAAACTAAAACATTTAATACTTCAGATGTGGCTTAATACAAATATGTATACTTACAAAAGAAAACAAATTTTAATTTGCTTAAAATGTGGACAAAGTCAAGCGGGTAAAACATACAGACTTAACGGAGATCTCCGAAGAGACAAGAGAAAGCTCAAATTCCAAAAAAAAAATATGCAATTATCGTGCACTCAATCACCATTAAAATTTAAACAAAAGAGGCCCTTCATGAGAAGCAGTTACTTTTAGAGAAATTAAAGAAACGAGCCTTCCCACTCAAGCAACAATCAAGCAACCAATTTATCAAACATTTAAAGCATCAACTACAAAGTCGAACTCATATTGCCTGGCCCAAAGCTTTTAAAGGTAAACTTAATGCATCATTCTCCAAAGTATATACAGACACGTCCATAAATAGGCAACGCAGTAGCGAACCATAAAATGGTCCTGCGAATCGCGAAAGAGCCACATCAAAAATTAAAGCTAAAGACTGTAATTGAGACGTGCACAGAAAAGCAAGCAAAAAATGAGGCAGAAAAGTAAAACAAGTTGCAGAGGTAATTACGGGACGAGCAGGTGTCTTAACAGCATTTGATGATAACGAGTAGGTCGTTAGCGCCGCGGAGGGCGCGCGTCGCGCATTAATAGGAGGTTGGGGTAATGGCGCTACGTCCATCTGACTCACTGCAAATTAACGGATGACAAGTGATGAGGCAGAGTCTACTTGTGGGGTTCGTGTGGCTTGCCTTTTTGCAATGACGTGGCTTAGCTTCTCATTTTTTGTGCAATTTTGTTCTTGCATGTAAATCCCTATTTTAGCCTGTCTCCTCAAATTGCTTCGCTGAAAAACACAAGCCGGCTCAGCTTTTGAGATCAAATATTGCTTTTGTCGCTGATCCGATGTCGCATCACTTTGCTTCGCTCTGGGCACAATTTGGCGTGGCTGCTAAGTGGAACATAGGACTTGCTAAGCATCAATTTGCTGAGAAGTCGTCAGAGTATAGTCCATGATAACCTGTGTGTGCTCAGTAAATATCGTATGATGATCGTATGTACTTAGTAGCTCCGTGAGCCCAAAGGTCGGTTGTATCATTGAAAGGAGCCTCCCCCCCCAAAAAAAAACCAACAACAACAAGAA